GTCTTTTCACCTCCCCCGAGCCTTCATCTCTCGGCAGGGCAAACAAAATGGCCGTTCTTGAGTATCTCAACATGCGCTCGTGGGCTTCTTGCCTCGAAACCCAAGGGGATAAGCAAGCAAACGAGGCGGGCCCGAGTCCCGCGGTCTCGATTATAGCTTGTATCTCTTTTGATTCTTCATCATTTGATCGAACCTTGTGGAAAGAAGTTATGATCCCACCCTCGAAGCTTTTCCCTTCGAGCTCCGCGGAAGATTCCGGAAAGTAACCCCACACGAACGAGACGGGATGCAAGTGCAAATTCTCCCCGATGTTCTTGTTCGTTAAGCCGCTCGAGATTAATAACGGAGGGGTCGAAAGAGCGCCGCATGCAGAAATCGTCGCCTTAGCTTCAATAATGAGTTTGATTTTCATCACATTCTTCCCGATTTCAGTGCTCGCAATAACCCCAACACACTTTTTCCGGGGCTTTTCGTCATTAAGGATGAATTTTTCGGCTTTACATCCGGATAAGATCACGGCACCGTTCTCAACGGCGTCAACGAGCCAAGTTAAATCGGTCCCTTTTTTATCACCCCTTCGGCAGCCATAACAACACGAACCGCAATAGTGGTTGGCAGAAGTATTTCTCGGCACGGGATCGACTTTTACGCCGAGATTCTCGCAACCCCTTCGAAGCACTCGGTTATTAAACCCTTCTTCCGTGCAATTCTCCGTGACGCCAATCCTTTCGCACACGCGATCCATGGCTGATCGATATTCACATGTGTCGAAAAATGTAATCTTGTTTTTGTGGGACCATTCTCGGAGGATGTGATCCGGTGTTCTTATGCATGCAGACCAGTTTACGGACGAGCCACCACCGACCGTTGATCCGGCCAAGATCATTATTTTTCCGTCTCGAGTCGAGAGCATCCCGCCCGACTCGTACAGCTCGGACACGGATGGGCCTTCTAGGCCCGAATAATCTCGGGCCACAAAGTACTGGCCTTTTTCGAGGACAAGCACTTTCTGGCCCGATTTTGCGAGGATTGCTGCTGCAACTCCGCCTCCACTGCCCGAACCCACGACCACGACATCGCATTTGATTCTGTATGCATTATTCTCATTCGTATCATCCGTGATATGTATGCCCTTTCGGATTAGGGATTCTTTTAGGGATGACCCGTTTTGGTTCGTGGTCTCGATTATTCCCTTTTCGAGCGGCCTTTCGTTTTGTGGTGCCGTGGGTTTCTCCACAGCTTCCACTTGATATCCAATGGCTTTCCATGCCGGGTTAGTTGAATTTTCATCAATCTGCATAACGGTACAGAAAAAAAACACGCCAAAATAATGAAAGAGTAAAAAAAAACACAATCCAAGTCGAATACTAAAAAAACATGCCATTTTTTCACAAAAACAATGAAAATCAGCAAGAAAGGAAGAACGCGGGTGACATTGAGGAAATAGCAGTAAACGAACAGATTTTTACCCGAGAGAAAAAGACAAAGAGACAGAGGGCTTTCAGCATTAAGAACGATATTCTCAAGGGTAGCAGAAATGTCTCCTTCGACCAGGTTTGAAGGATAGTTTCTCGTTTGTTCAAAGGCAACTCGGAAAAACAGTGCACAAATGGCCATTTTCGGTTCAAACAAATACGCCCGCATAGCAAAAGTGTCCCCAATCTGCTTGATAATAATCTCAACACTATGCGTACAATGAACACTGCTTCGGCTACACCCCTCTTCATCATAAACTCTGCCACCTAATGGCATTACAACTGCAGAGATTAGTTACTTTTATGATTGAAAGAGCTTAAAATATGTGTCTCAAGCGAATTCACGCTCGACAAAACCACAAATAGATAATTTGCAAAATCACACACACTACGCAAAATTCACACATTATGAAGGAAATCATGGGATTAAAGTACTTAGAGTGTGTTTGATAAGCACCATAAGCTAGCTTTATAAACATCATGCAAATAAGTTAGGATGAGCTTTTTCAAATATCTCGAGCATATAGAGGTAGCGTTCGAAAAAGACTACCGAGATTTTTGTTTTCAACGAACTTATCAGCTAATTTTACTAAACATTTTTATTATATCGGCTAGCTTTTCAGCCATAAGTCACGAGCTATTAGTTGGAAGTTAATTTTCATAAACTATCAGTTATCTTATCAACTACCAACGTAACTTTTCAGCTAGGTCTTACCAAACATAACCTCAAACTCTTCATGAGTTGACACGATCAGTTCATAACGATTCTGCCCGAAATCGGAAAGCAAATGTAACTTAATTACAAACAAGAACCTTCCCTTTAACAGATTGTTAGTACATTTCACAAAACCCATTTATTACTACAAAGTACAAACAACCCAACTTCAAATGAAACTTTACATACAAATTCCCATCAGACATTTGAACATAATGGGACACACAAAATTCCTTAAATATTCCGAAACCAGTCAAATATTTCAACCAAAGTACACCAATAATAAATAAATAAAAAAAAAATCAAGAAACCATCAAAAGTACTAAAATAAACTAAGATAATAAGAGTGATGAAACAAAATCAAGCTAACTGAAATTCAAATTATTTACTACCTCATGAGGGCCCGAAGACTGGTAGAACTCATCATTATTATTATCAACATCAACAGCGCCAGTTTGGAGGGAAGGGATGAGAGTGCGACAGATGGCAGTCAGTGATTGGATCTGTGAAGGTGAGAAGCCATGGCTGTAGCTTGAGGATTGCCCATTCTTTCTACCTCCCTTCAACAATGGATGTGGCCCTCTTTCTTCTTCTTCTTCCTTCATACTCTCTCTCTCTCTCTCTCTAAAAACTCTCTCTCTCTCTCTAAAAACTCTCTCTCTCTCTCTCTCTCTCTCTCTCTCTAAAAACTCTCTCTCTCTCTCTCTGTATATGAATTTCAGATTTCTTTTAATGTGCTGTCATTCTAAATAAATATATACAGTAGACTTGAGAGTGATGTAAGAGTAGAATCTGCAAGATATTATTATTGCAGTGGAGTCTAGAGATGGGCAAATTCGATGCACACATGTGGTGGTGGGGGGGCTCGAATTTTTTTTTTTCCCTAAAAATGTGTGGAATTTTTTTTTTTTGGGTAGTCAGCCACGGTATTCGGAGCGTTGCACCGATTAATCCGTTGGTCGACTCGGGTCGCACACCTGACAATGGTAGATGAGTCTCCCAACAAAGGTTTTCTGTATTCACAAGGATTCGAACCCGATACCTAGCTTAAGTGACATCAAGTTGTTTACCACTTACCAACTATTAGAGCATCCACAATGCTTTGAGTCTAATTTTACATATGTGGCTTAAGTCCTAAATGACATGGACAAACCCAAGTAAAAAAACTCAAAAGCTATTATAAAATACTAGGTCTAGCATACATGACAACCAATAAAAATGCTTTAATATATTTCATTTATTAAAAAAAAAAATAAATGATGAGTGCTTGGGTTTGTACTTGAGTCTAAAATAGACCCAAGTGTGTACTAGATCTCTTTTTTTTGTCACATAAGCTAGACTAGATTCAATTTTAATTGCATTGAGAAACACTTTTTTATAGACAAGGTCTATTTCCTACATGACATGTAATTTTTTTTAAGAGACCCAAAGTATTGTGGGTGCTCTTAGACAATTGTATTTTTTACACATGATGAAATACTAGTTATATATTAGGTGGATATTTAGGGGTGCATTAGTTTGAGATTTGTGACATTTATATTTTTTTTGAGATTTGACATTCTTTGGTAATTTTAAGACTGGAGGTGAATTTGAAGTGAAATTTCATATATGTTTTTTATTTTTTTCTTAAAAATCAAAACAAATTTTGGAAAGTCCAACAAATCTTAATTTTCAATAAATTAAATACCTCATGATTTTGTAAGACGTTTTAAAATCTCAAATGAATATTTCAAAACTTTTAAAATATTGAAAAGTATAAATTAAATACATCGAGAATTCTGAAGTTTTATAAAAAAAAAAAAAACTTAAAGTATTTAGAAATCTCAATTAAATACAATCTATTAATCTGAAATCAACTGAATCTACTATATTTAGGAGACCAGATGCAGATGGCGCTCTGGCTCTTTAGTTTAATAAATATAGACAAAGAATAAAAGTATAATATATTCTAGGGGATGCTACGTTCCGTTACAGAACCATTTCATCGAAATTTGCAATCGTTGAATCATCATGTAATCATCGGTGATAGTTGATCTAACACAAACCTCGCTTAACGTGTGGGTTTAGCACTTTAGCTTATGTTTGTCGTTTGTTAATGGTAACGTGTGGGTTTGGTTATTTGATGGTTTGGTATTAACCCACCCACTTGCTGTTTTTTGGTTGAGAATCCTATTCTACTATCTGGAAAATATAATTCCTACCAAAAGCTATATAACAAGTATTATTTGATGTGTTGATTGTGTATTAGGATGCATGGGAGGAGATAATTCTGAATTAATGGTACTAGCAACTTTACAAAATAGTCCTAGCAACAATATTTTGAATACTTGTATATTTTTAAATTGAAATGTCATGCTCCAAAAAAACGACATAAATAAAATGATATTTCACTTCACGAATATGTATTTTTGTTTTAAAAAAAAATGTATGACGAGTTGACCCGCCTAACTGTTAGGCCGCCTCGTATAATAATTTGCTGCAAAACATTAATGCAACACTAGAACTAGAGTGGGAGCTTTTTCCCCTTCTTAGGATCTTTGTTTGGTGCAAAATTAGATGCAAATGATAACAAAGTTCCCAAATAAATTTGAAAAATAAGACACAATATATGGCATATGGTACATTGTAGGTACATTATGAACTAGGGATGATATCAACCTGTGAAAAAAAAAAAATAATAATAATAATAATAGTTTCTTCAGTTTCTCTAGCTAAAACTAGGTCAAAAACACAACTTATATCAGAAACAAAATGAAATCCAAATCAAGAAGAAAAAAATAAAATAAAATAAATAACATTAATATCCTCAAGAAATTACTCTTCTTTCCTTCTCCTCATCAATGGTTCCGGTTAGTGGCCCGTTATCCGAGTACGCTGATGCCCCACAAGAAGTGGGTTTGGCTCTCGGTCGCAAGGACCCGTTTCCCTCCGAGACCGAGTCATTTGACCTTGATCGGGTCGACCCGCCATCCGAGTCCTTTGACCTTGACCGAGTCGACCCACCATCCGAGTCCTTTGACCTTGACCGAGTCGACCCACCATCCGAATCCTTGTGCCTTGATCGGGTTGACCCGCCTCCATCCTCCTTGGGCTTCTTCCGACGCGATTTCTTGGCGAGGTCTGGGTGGGCCCGCGACGGAGAGTCGGGCCTGCCCGACTCGTCCCGTCCCGACTTGACGCTACCACCTTCGGACGAGTCCTTGGAGTGGTTTCTCCTCGAGTGCCTCGATTTAGTGGACGAGTCTTTTTTCCTCGGAGACTCGTTCGAGTTGTTGTTTTCGCGCCTCGAGGATCTTGAGATTTCAGGGGACTCTGTTGCTCTATTGCCTTTTTTAGTATCTATTATATAGAAAAAAAAAATACACACTTTAAGTTGTTATATAACAGAAACTAACTGCATTATATTAGATTTTCTTTCTCATCATGCTAAGAGACTTTTTTTTTTTTTTTAAATAGAATTAGAATTAAAAACAAACCTTCAGAAACCCATTTTATTTCAGGGCCCTCAATGATTTTTCCGTTCGAATCTAAAGGTGCCGATTGGTGTCCGTTCGAGGCTTTGAACTCCTTCATCTGCACCTCATTTTAGCCAAAATAAGATCACACATATATATGTCGATTTTTGTTATAGTGACGAAATTAAGATTCGTACCCAGCTTGGGGAGGAACCGACTTGTGACGGTCCATCCCAACCGATATGAGCTACATGCTTCACATCTGTGGGAAAACCAATCTGCATTTCTTCTTCTTTCCCATCATCTACATTTAAAAGAAGAAAAGAAAAAATAGTGAAACTCAAATGCGATCCAAATTCAATACAAATGTTTGATACTTCAAATCTTTAGGTACCATTTCGAAATGTGAAGAAAAAACGATGAATACGAACACTCACCGAACATCTTGGGAATGCTTCTGAGCCCCTTGAAAAGGCCCTTCACCTTGGTTGCCATGTTTGTGAAAGCTACCTTCTTGATCTTTTTTTCAACTTATCAAAAGAATTTGCATGGATTTTTTTTTTTTTTTTCAGCTTAGTTCAAATTAAAAGACCATGAGACGAAAACCGGTTTTTCATCTCATGGACTTTTAACATTGATCCATGCAAATATAAGGAAAGCAGGAAACGAAGAAGAAGAAGAAGACGAAGAAGAAGAAAATTCTCGAGGAAGTGTTGGCTTATTTTTTATTCTTGAAGGTCAAAAGAGAGGCTCGAATGAAGGAGGGGAGGAGAGTAAAAATCACCTGACTCTATTTTTTCTCTCTTTTTTTTTTTTGGAAAAAAAAAGTAAAAATATATCCAAAATTTGTTTGACCAAGAAAAAAGTTGATTTTTTTTTTAAAAAAAAAAAGAAAAAAAAATCAACATATGAGAAATGTTAATGCAAAACCTTTCGTTTTTTAGGTGGTAATAATAAATTGTTGGCTCCTAATGACCTACAAAAGCCAGACGACCTTCGGAAATTTAGGTAGCAATTTATTCAACAAAAATGTATTTTTTTTTTCCTAAAGGGGAAAAAATGATGAAATTACTTAAAAAAAAAAAACTAAAATGTTTCCGAACCACGAGTCTATTTAACCAAGATTAGTTTGAATCTCGTGCGATGCACGGGTAAAGATATTCATTAATATATAAATTAAAATTTTTCATTAAATAATATTTATAAATTAAAAAAAATTAAATCAATATGTAATACAATTTACCTATATTAATTTATTGAAAATATTATATAAAATTAAATATGCAAAATTACGTAAAAATGTTTCTAAAATTAGTACACAACCCGTGCAATGAACATAATTGATAATAAATTATCTTATATACGTTTCAAAATAATTGTCATTTTAAAATTTTTACTTAGAAATTCTATTTGATTATAATGTGATTTCATATAATAATTATTTTGGTAAAATTTTAATATATATTTAAAAACATATGTGACTTATATTTTTTATTAATTAGAACGAATTTATGTTTGTATAAACTACCCAAATCGACTATTTATTTACGTTCAATTTAATATTGGAGTAATGTTACAAGTACATAATAGTGTACATGAGGGTGTACATAATACTCACATTGAGTGGGACCCACCAAAAATAAAAAATCAAGTAGACTCCACATCATGTG